GGAAGACATGTGAAACTTCATGCACAGATGTCAATGCAAGTCACACCTGAACTTGCGAGAAGTAGTGAATGAACTACTTTCAAAATCGGTGTGACTCCGACAGAGCCAGAGTCACACCCATTTGAGTGCTTCTATTGAGGACAATAGGGTGAAACTTGTCATGTGATTTGAAACTATCAAATCGCATGACAAGTTGCACCTCTATGAGCAGGGACTCAAAGTCTGATCATCAACGTTGCTGGGAATGAAAATGACTGTAAATCAAACATTCTGAGTTGCCACCAGGGACAACTGTCTAAGACCCCATTCACACTAGTGTGATTTCTCTGTATCTGTTTTTGCGCAGCAATGCCCGACAAAGGAAATTCCATTATTCTCTATGGTGCCTTTTCACATCAATTCAACATGGTGCAGTGTGATTTCTGAAAGTTGTAGGTGCTTCTTTTGGTGCAGAATAGTGCATTTTTGACCTACAGACATTATTGGGAGTGCAAGAAAAGCGAAAGAAAATCCCACGTCCATGTATTTTTAGTGCATTTTTGGTAAGGTTATATGTCCACCTCCTACAAAAAAATGCATGGCAATTATTTAAAAAACGCATGCAAAAACATGCAAAAATGCAGTGAAAAATGCATGTTTATGCAGCAACACTAGTGTGAACCTAGGCTAAGAAAATATCTTCTACACAAGTTTACAGGACGGGAAGTGAATGGGAATCTTCTCTCTGAGACACAAATGGAATATAAAAAAAAAATATTGCCAACAATTTTCATTTAACTTTCCCCTACTCAATCCATGAATGCTTTAATTGATGAGTAACATGGTACAACATTCTACTTTTCTTACCATTTAGAGAGACCATATAGCTTTTCATTATTCTTTTGTGTTGTTGTTTATGTGTCTGTATCACTACAGCAGTTGACTAAATATGTAAATTCTCATAGTTTTCCTCTCTAGACCGCGCTCCATTCAGCACATCACAGCTGGGTAGTCAAGCTCTCAGGATTGTTGTTTGGACATTTCTAGCTTCTCTTGATGTGTCCTGAGCCTGACAGAAAATACACATAAACCTGCTAACCTCTATAAATAAGCTATAAGTAACACACAGGATGGGGTTAGGGCCAAGATATATACACTGGTTAGGTGTAATAGTTTAAAAGTAACAGTTTTTTTTTAAATAATATGTCCATACTTCCTCCCTTCCTCCCTTCCTTCCTTCCTTCTTTCCTTCCTTCCTTCCTTCTTCTTTCCTTCCTTCCTCCCTTCCTTCCTCCCTTCCTGCCTTCCTTCCTTCCTGCCTTCCTTCCTTCCTCCCTTCCTTCTTTCCTCCCTCCCTCCTCCTTCCTCCTTCCTTCCTCCCTTCCTTCCTTCCTCCCTCCATCCCTCCCTTCCTCCTTTCTTTCTCCCCTCCTTTCTTCCTCCCTCCATTCCTCCATCCCTCCCTTCCTCCTTCCTTCCTCCCTTCCTTCCCTTCTCCCTTCATCCCTTCCTCTCTCCCTCCCTTCCTTCCTTCTTCCCTCCCTCCCTCCCTTCCTTTTGCCATGCCTCCCTTCCTCCTTCCTTCCTCCCTCCCTCCCTCCCTCCCTCCCTCCCCCTTCCTTCCTCCCTCCCTCCATCCCTCCCTTCCTCCTTCCTCCCACCTTTCCTCCCTCCCTTCCTTCCTTCCTCCCTCCCTTCCTCCCACCCTTCCTCCCTTCCTCCCTCCCTTCCTTCCTCCCTTCCTTCCTTCCTTCCTTCCTACCTTCCTCCCTCCCTCCCTCCCTCCCTTCCTCCCTTCCTTCCTTCCCCCCTCCCTTCCTTCCTCCCTTCCTCCCTTACTTCCTTCCTTTGTGAAAAGCATATGAAATAAAACTGACCAGATAGCAATAACATTTTAATTTTAGGTAAAACTATAATGATATCAACTAAACAGTGAAATAAGCTTTCAACAGTCTTAGGGCCGGTTCACACCACAAAAACGCACTGCAGATCCGTTCTGGATTTGTTTCTGTTTGCGAAAACACGGCAATCACTGCAAAAGCACCCCAAACCTGATGCGATTCTGCTGTGATAGTTGCAAGACAGCATTGCTCAGCAATCGTGGCAAACTGCACCTTTAAAAATCACATGAAGTGTGTCACCAAAAAGAAGCACAAGCCTCTTTTCCAGCAGTGAACATGCGTAGGGCAGCCCATTCAATTGAATGAGCTGGCCCTATACGAAATGACAATCGCACTTCGCACAGACGTACAGACCTGACAGCGAGGGGTTTTATTCACAATCCGATGGCTGCAACCACCGGGATTGTGTATAAAACTGACAGGCAGACTCCTGCCTGTCAGGTGGAAGCAGTCGGGCTGCTGTGCTACTGCCCAACCGCTTCCAAAACCCCCAGTACCATTTCCCCCCTCCCAGGGGCACACTCCCCCCATGTATCCAAGCCCCGCTTGCCCATCTATGAGCCCAGGGAGCACTATGGCGGGTGCCGATGGTTGTAGGGGAGAACCTCTGCCTGACGTTCATCTGCTTCTTTCTGTGACCCAAAAGGCGACATGCGTTACATCCATTCCAGGTCAACCCTTTCACTTTCTCTACTAGCACAGCCAAGAAGCAATGTATTGCAATGCGATCTGCATTGCAATACATCCAGTGGAGCTTAGAGGAGACATGAAGGGTCCAAAATTCTCAATAAAGAGAATCTGTCGCTTAAAAATCATCACATAGCGGACTTTGAGTCCCCTAAGTGATGAAAAAAGTTAAGTAATTTTTTTTTATTGCAAGTTACAACCAAGAATATAACATAGCCCTGCCTAAAAAAATAATTTTGAGGTCCCTCAAACGCACGCATGTACCAACATAGGCACATGTATGTCAGGGCGCCTATGCGTGAAAACCTTGATTGCGATACACGTTACATATTACCATGCGTGCCGGAGTGAGCAATAATTCTAGCAAAAGACCTCCTCCATAATGCTAAACTGAGGACCTATAGGGGTGTTTGAAGCATCACCTATAGAAAATATAGGGTACTGAAGTTTGCTGCCATTTCATAGGCACACACAAATTTAAGGTTTGGCATGTTGGGTATCTCTTTACTTGGCTCAACCTCGTCTTTTACATTTTACCAAATATTGGGGTAATTTAGTGCGTTTTTGTGCCCTAAAATTTACTGTAATGTGTTTTTTTTACTGAAATTTTGTGTTTCCTAGACCTTTGCACAATATCCTGTGATATAAAAAATTGGAACTACCACTGTTTTATTCTGACGGGAGTCTGCTTTCAGAAAATATATATTTTGGGCATTTTGTGTAATCTTCAGGCCTAAAATGATTTTTTAAACATTGTGTGCACAAAATGCAAAAACAGCTCTGGCAGCGAAAGGGTTAAAAGGTGCATCATGGGAACATTTGTGATATGCAAATGATATGCAAATGAGGCCTTAACCACTTCAATACCGGGCGCTTATACCCCCTTCCTGCCCAGGCCAATTTTCAGCTTTCAGCACTGTTGCACTTTGAATGACAACTGCGCGGTCATGCGACACTGTACCCATATGAAATATTTTTTTTTTTTTTCACACAACTAGAGCTTTCTTTTGGTGGTATTTAATCACCACTGAGTTTTTTATTTTTTGCTTAATAAAACAAAAAATACCTGAAACTTCTGAAAAAAACACTTTTCTTTGTTTCTGTTATTTATTTTGCAAATAAATGACATTTCTTCATAAATTTAGGTTAAAATGTATTCTGCTACATTTCTTTGGTGAAAATAATAATAATTGAATTTGTATTTTTTTTTCAAATGTTTCTATTATTTTTTTGTGTATTAAATTGTTTTCTTATTTCTACTTTTTTATTTTTCAGCACACCAAAGCAAATACAATGTTACCATAGTAACATTGAACTACTCTGGGGTGTAAACCTATCCTAAAACACATTGACACTAATTAGACACTGCTACTAATTTTTATTTTTTTTATCCTAACTAAAATGCACTGGCCCTCACCTTTTGCTCTGACCATGATCTTTGACCCTAACTCTAACCCTGACACTGACCTAGATCAAACCCTGATCTAGCTATTTTATCTTTATGTTTTATTTTATTTCCCACACACTTTTTTTGTTTCCATTTTCTCCTCCAGCAAGGAGAAAAATATATACTGTGTCTTCTCCATTCAAGAAAAGAAAATAATATAGGGGCAGGTTGTACAGTAACTGATCACTGTGTTGGCCAATCAGGGGCTATCACAGCAATCAGTTAATTGGGAATCAGTCCTCCCAGTTCCCGATCATTAGCCTGCTTTCACATGGTTTGACTGCACCACAGGAGCAATGCATCTTACCCATGTGTTTGCTGTGGGTTAGCTGTGCTTTTCCATAGAGTTCTATTGTGTCCTGTGTGTATGGTGTGCTTTCTGAAAGCACAATAAAGATGCGGCATGCAGGAGTTTTGGTGTGCTTTAAAGTGTTACTAAACCCAGAACACTGCATTCACTATCCAATATATAGAGTTCTATTGTGTCCAGCATTTTTATTGTGCTTTCTTAAAGTGTTACTAAACCCACAACAGTACAATCAGTCTGTATATGCAGTAAAGCATGCTTGTTATACTCACTGTGGAACCTAAGGGGTTAATCCTCTGCACTGTGTAAAAAGGCTGTTTGATCCTGTCTTCTCTGACCCTCCCCTTCTTCTACTGCCCCCAATCGATCTGTTGTTAGAACAGGGCCTTGGGGGCATGCTGCACATGCTCAATTTGGTGTGTATTGCTAGAGAGCTTTTTTTTTTCTTGGGAGAGTGCATGTGATCAGCACAGGGCAAATCAGCACTGTCCAGATAGAGGTCAGGGGTTCTGCATCCTCCTAGAGCAGAAAGAAAACTCCTCCTATAAGCTTTAACCAGTGCTCAGCTGAGCATTGATAGAAGTCACAAGACTGCTCTAACTGCTGATGAGAAAAGGAATTTAGCAGTTTATATTTACTAAAATAATTATGTTTCTATGTTCTGTGTACTGTGGGAGACCAGATATAGTGAATGCAGGGTCCGGGGAGACCAGATATAGTGAATGCAGGGTCCGGGGAGACCAGATATAGTGAATGCAGAGTCCGGGGAGACCAGATATAGTGAATGCAGGGTCCTGGGGAGACCAGATATAGTGAATGCAGGGTCCGGGGAGACCAGATATAGTGAATGCAGGGTCTGCAAGCCCATCCATTTGAATGTGGAAAAAAGCACCCTGCATGGAAAACATCATTTAATCCTGTTGGGACAAAAGCGATATTAGCCACTTAGTTTGGCTAATCGGTAAGGTGAGCGCACACCTATTCTTTAGCACTGGGAGTGTTGCACGGCACATTTATTGGCACCGGCAAGATTTCAAGCACAAAGTGGACTTTATAATAATTTATGATTGTGCACTTATATTTTTTTATATTTATGTTTTGTTGCACAGAATATTGCACTGTTTGAAGCACATGGTTTTTCACGTTCATATTATTTTTAGTTACATGTTTATTATTGATTTTTATACTGTGAAGCGCGACACATCTAGATATTATTTTGATATTTTCACACAAATTATGAGTATGTGTTTAGTGTTGATGCATCACATATTAATTTGATATTTGTTATAATTTCATATTTTATAAGATTGTTGCACAAAGAGAATATCACATTTTAGCTCACGAGTATCATTTTTATTTGGTTGTTCACCAGATATAGTGAATGCAGGGTCTGGGGAGACCAGATATAGTGAATGCAGGGTCCGGGGAGACCAGATATAGTGAATGCAGGGTCCGGGGAGACCAGATATAGTGAATGCAGGGTCCGGGGAGACCAGATATAGTGAATGCAGGGTCTGGGGAGACCAGATATAGGAATGCGGGTCCCAGGGAGACCAGATATAGTGAATGCAGGGTCCAGGGAGACCAGATATAGTGAATGCGGGGTCCGGGGAGACCAGATATAGTGAATGCAGAGTCCGGGGAGACCAGATATAGCGAATGCAGGGTCCGGGGAGAGCAGATATAGTGAATGCAGGGTCTGGGGAGACCAGATATAGCGAATGCAGGGTCCGGGGAGAGCAGATATAGTGAATGCAGGGTCTGGGGTTTAGTAACACTTTAAAAAAAAAACACTAGTGTGAATGGAGCCTTAAACTCTCCTGAGCAGCTCCAGAATCCAAGATTGCAGTACAGGACCAATGAAGCATGAAGACTTTGAGTTGTAGGAAGACTAAGCCGGACGTCTTGAACTGGCAAGTATCTGTTCTTTAAAATTCAGCAGCTACAATTTTTGTAGAATCCGGTTGAAGTTTCTCTTTAAGTAAGACCCCCTACTAAGTCATAATGTTAAAAATGGTAATCTGTGCAAATATGCTTTGGTACTTATTTTTATTATTACTTCACATTGAGATTTATCAGCAGCAGGAGCTGATGGACCTCACAGTTATGCAATTGTATTTCAATTTTCAGCAGTGTGAAATGATTATAGACAGTATAAAATTACAAAAGCATAATGGAGACACAATCTTGGCATGCTGAGCAAATAGTTCTTTGATACATGCAGGTTCCATTTTAAATATGTATGCAAAGGAACATTAAAATACCAAAGATATTCTTTTGTCTGCATACAGTTGGTTACTTCCAACTGCTCGGTGCAAACAATAGTTATGAAATCAACATAGTGATAAGTTACCTGTTAATAATAAATGCTAAGAGCTATATTTAGAAGGGCTGAAGTTCTTTTTTTTTATAAATAAATCAAAATATGACACTTGCTAAATCCCAAACGGATTGGAAGTTTGGAAGTGTTAATGCAAACTTCCCTGAATATTTCATACTGATATATAATCAGACTGACATTTCTAAACAAATACCACTCATTATTTAATCCAGACGATTTCTGATTCATCATTTTCATAAGCAAAGATGGTAAAGTGTACTGTGCTTTTATTTGCTGAAGTATACTTAACCACTTCAATACGGCCACTTTTACCCCCCCCCCCCCCCGCCCAGACTAATTTTCAGCCTTCAGTGCTGTTTCACTTTGAATGACAATTGCACAGGCACGCAACACTGTACCCAAATGCAATTGTTATAATTTTTTTTAGACAGACGGAGCTTTCTTTTGGGTGGTGTTTGGTCAACACTGGGTTTTTTATTTTTTGGTTAACAAACAAAGAAATACCGAAAATTTTCAAAAAAAAATTAGTTTCTGTTATACAATTTTGTAATTTTTCTTCTTCACTCGGGTGCACTTATGAGGCTGCACTGATGGGCACTGGTAGGCTGCATTGATGGGTACTGATAGGCTGCACTGATGGGCACTGATGAGGCTGCACTGATGGGAACTGTTAGGCTGCATTGATGGGCACTGCTAGGCTGCACTGATGGACACTGATGATTCTGCACTGATGGGCACTGCTAGGCTGCACTGATGGGCACTGCTGGGCTGCATTGATGGGCACTGATAGGCTGCACTGATGGGCACTGATAGGCTGCACTGATGAAGCTGCACTGATGGGCACTTCTAGGCTGCATTGATGGGCACTGCTAGGCTGCACTGATGGGCACTGATGAGGCTGCACTGATGGTAAATGAGAAATGAGAACCAAGGATGTTTTTTAAATATAAACCCACACATGTATACAAGTAGAATTTTGCTATTATAGGCACTCCATGATGGTATAATGAGCCACATTTCAATGACATTCTCTGCCCCAACCTTAGACAAGCTCGGGAACACTCCTACTTATAAAGATCAACTACTAGATTTAATAAAAATGCAGAACGTATTATTCCTCGTTTAATTGCTCACTAATAATTTGCTAATACCTATATCTCAGAGCAAGATGGATCTCCACGGCTTTGGTAACTGTCTCAGATAGCAAATTTTGTTATGGATTTGGCAACTTTTTCCACCTGGCTAACATCTGTGTTTGTATCTGGAGAGTATGTACGCTCACACTCTGCAGGTTTACTAATTCTACAGTTGAGGTTTCCATATTCAGTAATGATTCACTAGGCAATTACAGATTATTACTGAATGGAGAATTTTGGCAAATTGCTGATTAGAACTTCGTTAACTCATTATGTAAGTTTGAGAGATCACGTGACCTGTTTCAAGTGCCTTATTTTCAAAATCACGTGACCGGTTCCTAGCTATATTCTTGCATAGTTTACAACAACAGCATATGAACAGTTTTAGGGAAGGTGTACATAAGAACTCTGGAGGACTAAAGTTTAACCTCAGGAAGATTTATTCCATCCAGCCAGCCATATTCTATAGCAGTGGTCTCCAAACTGCAGCCCGTAGGCTGGATATTGCCCTTTGCTTGCCTTTATCTGGCCCTTCTTGGGGCATTATTCCACCAACTGACACCAATGATGGAGCGCTATTCCCCCTCCTGACACCATCAATGGGTCACTATTCTTCTCATTAAAACCAATGATGGGGCACTGATGTGGGGGCATTTTCTACTCCCACTGGCTATAGTCAAGCCCCCTTAAAGCCTGAAGGACAGTAAACTGGTCCTTTGCTTAGAAAGTTTGGAGACCCCTGTTCTATAGTAACATGTTTAATAAAGTCCTCCCATTTCCACAAATGGTTTAAAAAGTCTCTCCTACCAGAGGTGATATTTTATTTAGAGGTGAAGACCGGTAAAATGCATACCCCCTTGGTTTCTTATACCTACAGAAGCAGAAATCAATATCCCAATAAAAGATACAATGGCAAGAAAAAGTATGTGAACCCACTGATTTTCTACAGTAATTTGCCATAAAATGTAATATGATCCTCATCTAAAACCCCGTACACACAATGAGAATATTAAACAAATGATTGTCCACTTTTTTTGTATGCTAGTCTCATATCGATAATGAAAAGATGACTAAAGTTACGAAAATTCTCGTAGGACAGAATAAAAATTGATGTCATATATTGTAATGTATTGGTATTCTATTATTGGAAGAAAACTGTACTGATTAAACGAAAATTATGCAATCTGGTATCGTACGAGAAATATTTTTGTGCTTGTCTGTTCTAATAATTTCAGACAAAAGCTGTGTACTAACGATCATAATTATCGTACGATCTCTTCGAAAGCGGTATTTTTTTGTATGGTTTTTCTGATCATGTGTACTAGGCTTATGTCACAACAACAGACAAACACAATGTGCCTAAGCTGATAACACACAAACAATTCTACTTTCTTGTGTCTTTATTGCACACACCCATTAAACATTCACAGTGCTGGAGGAAAAAGTAAGTGAATCCATAGACCAGGGGTTGAGGAACTGCAAGTCCCATGAGGCCTTGCAAGACTCTGACATCCACAGGCAAGACACTCAGAGGCAGAGCCATGATGGTACTTGTAGTACTTCAACAGCTGGAGGGCCATAGTTTGGTCACCCCTGCCATAGACTAATGACTTCAGTGAAAGCTAATTGGAGTCAGTAGTTTGTGGAGTCCAGTTAGTGAAATGAGTTTGGATGTGTGGTTTAGAGCTACGAAAACATTTTAAGATTGCTGTTCATAAGAAGCATCAGCTGATGCGAGTCATGCTTCGAAAAAAGGCAAGAAATTACAATTGTTTGTGTGTTATCAGCTTAAGCACATTGTGTTTATCTACTTAGATGATGATCAGATCACTTTTTATGACAAATTATTGCAGAAAACAGGTTAATTCCAAGGGGTTCACATATTTTTTTCTTGCCACTGTCAAATAACTGACTCAATATTCACCATTAATACAGAGCTTTCCCCCCCCCCCCCCCCCCGCAGTGTTTTTTCTGCCATTAGATGTCCTCAATCTGTTTGCCAGCATTATTCAACCCGCGTCATCTGACTGGATAGTAAAGAAAAGCCACTTTTTTTCTCTCTCCTCCAATCAGCATGCTCTGTCATTATTTGACTGCCTCCCTGAGCAGCTTCTTTCTTTCACACTCCAGCTCTGCTACACAATGGACTGCAAGAGGCTAATAGCAGTTCAAATTTAGATACTTTCACTGCGAAAGCATTTAATTATGTGTCAGTCATCACAAAGTTGCATTACATCTGCCTTGAGTTCAGCTTTAAGGTAGATTTAAACCCAATAACAAAAACCTCATATAAACTCTAATTTGTTCATATATCTTCAAATATTGATTCACATTTTTAAATGTTTAGCGTCTATTAAAATAATATCTGGTGATCCTGCCATGAATGTTCTTGTTCAGGCACTTTCTGTTAAGGAGTGACAGCTGTCACCCATTTGTGATCCTGTGGTGGCTGCTGCATACACTCCTGGTGGTGACTACAAGCTGCAGTGCTGCCACACAGGCATGATCTGCTGTTGTCCCTATCAGGAAGCCAGTCCACAGCAGCAATGTGCAGTCAATGCTGAAGCAAGTAAACAGAAAGTTGCTGAAAGGGGCTGGAGGAGATCAGCAAAACCGAGATACAAATTTAGAAAGGTAAAACGTGAGGGGGGGGGGGATAGGAAAACATGGTCGTACACAGTGCTTTAACAAATTAAATGTCATCCACTTTTAGGTTTAGATGTACTTTAAAATGTATCTAAATTCAATAAAATGTAATATATTGCAGCCTACCAATTTTTGGATGTGGTGACTGCATTTATTTTCTTTTTTTAGGCGTTTTCCCTTTATTTTCACATGGTGATCCTGCCAGTACCAGTTTCCCTGTCCTAGGGTGATGGCGTTCACTCACTGCCTGTACCTACAGAGAAGTATTTCTGTCACCCCTGGACAAGAAGGGTGCTAGTACTGCAGAACACTGACCCTCTTTTCATCTCCAAAACATAGGCAGGGGGTGTCCCATATGTTGGGTAGGTGGTGGTGTGGCGGTCAGTAATCATACAGAGTCCCGATTTGCCAAAACTGTTTATTGCAGAAATAATAAAACAGTGCAAACAGGCCCAGTGGGGAGGCTCAATGTACTGTTCCAGGCAGAGACAGTGGGGTAAGGATTCCGAGCTGCCGACAATGTATGCCACAAGGAGCCAGTCCAACCCAATAGGGAAGCTTCCTGAGAAGGTAGATGTAGTCCCTGCTCTTTCCCTACTCCACTAGTGTTGTCCCT